CACGAGTGATTCCAGGAATCCTCCAGGGTAAAGGTCAGTGGCCAAGGCTGATTCCCTGCCCTGGAGCTGCTTGGAGGAAATGGGGGATCTAGTCTGACCTCCTGAGTCACATGTCCTGAGACCACAACTGCTTTTGATCAAGTTTCAGCCCCAGAGGAGAAGTACATTTGCATAATTACTTATCATTCACAGCCCCAAAAGTTCAAGGAGGGAATAAGAGGGAACTTGAGGAGCCCTTCCCTGCTGCAGGGGCTCAGAGGAAGAGCTCAAGGCGCCTCCACCATGGCCTGGACCTCCCTCTTGCACCCCTCCTCTCTCTCTGCAGAGGTGCTGACCCCAGGGCTCTGCCCCCAGAGTACCCAGGGATCAGCCTGGCCCTGAACGTCAGCTAAGCACAGGGGATGCTGTGGGGTGCATGGTCCTAGGAAATGAGACTCAGGTCCCCACCTTCACTTTCCTCTCCTCTTCTCTCCTGCAGGTTCTGTGTCCTCTTCTGCACTGACTCAGCCCTCCGCGGTGTCTGTGTCCTTGGGACAGACAGCCAAGATCACCTGCTAAGGAGGCAGCTTAGGAAGCTATAATGCTAACTGGTACCAGCAGAAGCCAGGCCAGGCCCCTGTACTCGTCATCTATGGTGATGACAGCAGGCCCTCAGGGATCCCTGAGTGGTTCTCTGGCTCTAGGTCGGGGGGCACAGCCACCCTGACCATCAGCGGGGCCCAGGCTGAGGACAAGGCCGACTATTACTGTCAGTCAGCAGATAGCACTGTTAATGCTCACAGTGACACAGGCAGATGGGGAAGTGGGACACAAACCTCCTTCCCATCTGTGTCACCCAAGAAACAATTCCCATCTGGTCATGAAATTGCACAAATGATAAAATGTGGCAGGAAGGATGCTCGAGCAATGGTTATCCTCATCCTCCACGTGTTCATGAGGGTAGAGGAACGACTGCCTGTGTTCTCTACAGACTACGGAGATACTGGCGTCTTTGGGGCAGAAAAGACGTGGGGAAGGTGGAAAGAAAAATATTTTGAAGAAATACTGGTTGAAAAGGTTTTAATTTCAATGGAAACAAGGAACCCACAGATTCAAAAATCTCCTCAATCTCCAAACACAAGAAACACTAATGAAACAACACCAACACACACCGACATCAAGTCCTTAGAACGAGTGTTGAGGAGACACCCATAAAAGCAGATGGAGAGAAAGCACACGTTCTCCCCTGAGGAAGGAGCACAGGGGGTTGAGGACCTCCCTCCTTCGGGACCACCAGACAGGCGAGCAGACACTGTATCCGTCTCTTTAGAATAAAAAGCAACAACAAAGCAACACAACAGCAACAGAAGGAGCCATGACCGCACTGAACTCTACTCAATGGAAATACCTGTAAATATTAAGGCAAACACATGCTCTTGTAGCTCAAAGTTCTGAGAGGCAGAGGGACACGTGGTGACGTCGGTGCCCTGGGTGAGAAGCGGTGTGCTGTCCGGGCAAGATCGGCCTGTACTGTTGACCCCGCAGCCAACCTTCAAATAAAACCAATTTAAAAATGTTTCAGACAATCAACCGTAAAAGAAGACAACATTAAATCATAAAAAATATTCAGTTAATGAAAAATAGAGATAAAGCAAAGTAGCAATGAGGAAGACATGGGACAAAAAGTAAAGAAGTAGCAAAATGAGTCATCTTCACAGACATGTATTATGAATCCCATTGATGGTAAGAAGGGGAAATCCAACAATTAAAAGGCAGGCACGAGCAGAGTGAATTTTACAGCAAGACCCTTGGAAATGGCCCTGCACAGCCAGAGCGGCCTCCCACCCCGCAGACCCTCCGGCCCTTACCCGGGCTAGCCCCCTGCCCTCCCGCACGGGCAGGCTGAAGGGGCTCCTTATGACCATAAGCGGTCTCTCTTCTGCACCGGGACCCTCCGTAACCCCTGATATCATTCATTGGTCTCCATTTCCAAAATTTCTGCAGATTCTTGACAGAGAACCATAGGAAATGGATGAAACCACAGAGGGAAAAGAAAACCATTAGAAATGATGGATAGAAGGAAAAACATACAATCACATAGCACGCCGCCCTGGGATTAGCGTTGCTCACTCTGCATAATCCCCTGTAGATGCACCCAAACTGGCCTGTGCGCTCAGCATCCGGTCCTTTTCATGGCTGAGTACTGGTCCACGGTTCCGGTCCAAACGTCTAGGACCCAGTCAGTCATCCACTGATGGACGTCGGCACTGCTCTCAGCTGGGGCTGGTCCACACTCAGGATCTGTGGACGGTTGTGTCTAGTTCCCTGTGACCTTACGTTCTCACTTTTCTGAAATATATGCTCAGGTGTGCATGGCTGGGGTGTATGGTGACCTCAAGTTTTACTCGTTAAGAAGCTGCCAACTCTTTTGCAGACATTCTGCACCAGATCACACTTCTCTTAGTCACACATGTACCACCCAGCTTCTCCGCATCTTTGCCAGCATGTGGGGTTGTCTGGATTTTTATTGTAGCCCCTCTGATAGGTGAGAAGTGGTACCTCACTGTGGTTTCACTGCATTGCCCTCCTGGCTGATAAGGGAGGGCTGTTCATGTGCTCATGGACACCCATCTGTGCTCTTCCACAAAATATTTGTTCTAGCCCACTGGCCATTCTCTAAGTAAGTTCTTCTTGTCATTTCTTTTTTCTTTTTACTCTTTAGAGTTCAGCCTGTTTAGATACACCCTCAATTCATCATTCATAAGTTCTATGATTTGCAAATATTTTCTTTCTATCTGTTATTTGGGTGTTTTTCATCCCCATTACATAGTTTGCAAGCAAAAGATGTTGATACTAATGGCGTTCAGAGTTTTCATACTTCTTTTTGAATCATGTATATGGCATCCCCAATTTTTGCTTAATCCTAGAGCCAAATGGTTTGCCAGTTTTTCTTCTAAAATTAATTGATGTATTTGAAAAGACTTCCTCTGAGGTACATGAGCAATTTCCTTGGGTCTGATGACGGAATTCTGGCCTCTCACAGCAGCGTGGTGACTGCTGTCCCCACAGCACCTGCTCTAAGCACTGCCCAGCCCCCGCTGCGATGCCCTCAGCATTGGACAGGATGACTTTGTCACCCAGGCCCAGAGGGGAAGCGCAGGCCCAGACTGAGGTGTCCCTGCATGTGCTGGGGGCAGGGGGCAGCACTTCCTCACTCAGCACCAGATACTCTTCTGGGACCTGAGCCCGGGCCTGGGAGTGGGGCCTCCACTGAAATCCTCCATTGAGCCCAGCTGCTCTCTGCTCAGGAGGGAGCCGGTCACCAAGGACACTCGGCCAGGAAGCAGATTTGCATGAGGATGTCCCCTCTGAAAATAAGAGAGGCCCCAAGACTCCACCCTCAGTTGTGGGCTCAGAGGCAGAGCTCAGGGCGCCCCACCATGGCCTGGACCCCCGTCCTGCTGCCCCTCCTCTCTCTCTGCACAGGTGCTGCCCATAGGGCTCTGCCCTCAGTGTAATCAGGGATCAGCCTGGCTCAGAACATCAGCTCAGCACAGGGGATGGTGCGGGGTGCGTGGTCCTAGGGAATGAGACCCTGGTCCCCACCCTCACTCTCCTCTCCTCTCCTGCAGGTTCTGTGGCCTCTTCTGCACTGACTCAGCCCTCCACGGTGTCTGTGTCCTTAGGACAGACGGCCAAGATCACCTGTCAAGGAGGCAGCTTAGAAAGCTATTATGCTCACTGGTACCAGCAGAAGCCAGACCAGGCCCCTGTGCTGGTCATCTACAGAGATAGCAACCGGCCCTCAGGGATCCCTGAGCGGTTCTCTGGCTCCAGATCGGGGGGCACAGCCACCCTGACCATCAGCGGGATCCAGGCTGAGGACGAGGCCGACTATTACTGTCTGTCAGCAGACAGCAGTGATTATAATGCTCACAGTGACACAGGCAGATGGGGAAGTGGGACATAAAACACCCTCCATCTCTGTCACCCTCTCCTCTAGTCCCTGGAGGCCTGTGGCCAAAGCAGTGACAGTTCTGGCCCGGTTCCCCCAGATCTGAGCTCCCAGACTGCCCTCCCCACCACCCTCCAGGCTGCTCTACACACGGTGGATCAGGGGTGGATTTCTGGCTGGCAGGATGTTACTGTCATGGTGTTTTTGTGCCTAAGTTATGTGTGGGGGAGGAGGGCCTGGGTGGACTCAGACAGGGACGTCCAGCGACGCAGGAGGACCCTGCATCACAAGGGAGCCTGAGCTTTCAGTGAAATGGGTTTATGGTCATGTCTCTGGGTGGAAGAATTTCCCCGTCAGAACTAAGACCCCAGGCCAGAAGGTAGGAGCTCAGGGGACAGGGAGCAAATGTGTTGAGCAGGTCCCAGGGATGATATGGGCAGAGCCCTTCCTAACCCCTCACTTTGAATCCTGGCAATGGGAGAGGCATCGTACATTGTGCACAGATTTAGAGCATATATCGCACCTGGAGGGCATTACCCGCCCCCACACGGTGTTGGCACTTGGCTGCCTCGGTGACCGGCTCCTCCATCTGCTGTTGCTCCATCACTAAGGGAGCAGCCTCGGGATGTTGGGGAAAGTGGTAGGACCAGTGAAACCTGTGAGCCTGGACCCACTGCAGCCCCTCTTCTGATGTGGAATGAGTTCATGTTCAGAAGCCCCGTGAGGAAACACAGAATTCTGTGAGTCCAGGGAGAACAGTTGGGGCAGAAGCATTCCAGTTGGAGAGGGCAACTCCCAGTCTGCAGGAAAGATGTGTCAGTAAGAGCAGAGCTCCCCGCTCCATGCTGGAAGAGGTCTGATGTCATCCACTGAGCACCGGGTCTCTGGTGGATTCCCGAGGGAAGGTGTCCCACGGGAGCCGTGCTGGTCTGTGCTATTGGCAGGCTGGTGACGGAAGTGGCTGTGGACAGGTCAGCTGAAGACACTGGAGCCATCCTGACTAGCCTGTGGCTGATCCTGCCCTTCCCATGGGGGAGCCGGGTCACAGCGCCCACCCGGCGATGGTTGGAGAGGGAGGCAGACTACTATCCACAGAGCGGGTCCTCCTGTCCACCTGGTTATTAACATCACTTCATTTTCAGGACACAAGTTGCTAAGCACTTTCATGGGACACAAATAAATGACTCTCTGGTTCCCTCTGTGGGGGTTCATACTTGT